GTTCATCATGTGAAAAGGTTTTTGAGGGGGAAAACCACAAGCAAACATTACGTTTAACCAGTTTTTTAGTATTGCTTTGAATTTATCTCACCAATGTGTAAGACTGTGTAAGACTGTGTTGTAGTGTGTGTGTGTGTGTGTGTGTGTGTGTGTGTGTTTTTGAGGGCTTGTGTGTCATGTCTGAGGGCAAAGTTAGGCTTTTCAGCAAGATTGAATGGTTTTGAGCGTAGAGCTTCATTTTGACCTGAAAATAGGATGTTTGGGGAATGGGGTGAGAAGTTGTGGATTTGTGTTTAAAGTTTCAAGAAAAAGAGGCATTATTTCAAGAAATGTGTTTAAGCAATCAAAGACTGTAATAAGAGAAGCGAGCAAAAATTATTCATGGGCACAGATCTTGCACCCTTGCATGTGTGTGTGTAACAGATACAGCCTGCCAGCTGCTCAACTAAAGGCAGGAGCATGCCTCCTGAAATATACCTGCTAGCAACAACTCCCCCATGGCTAAGAGGTGCAAATCACAGCCAAGGAAACCCTAGACAGGCCTGAGATGATCATTTCCATCTGCTCATTACATTTGATTCATCCTCTACAACCTCCCCGTATTATCAGTGTCATCCTCAGATTTGACACTGGAATAAAAGTTTAAGGAAAATCAAATTTATCAACAGTTTTATTAAAACCTTTCATTCCTTTGATAGTATTAGATGAGACATTTTAAATCTCCCCGTCTCTCACAAAGCGAGAAACAAGATCAAGGCTCTATGATTCAATCATGACACAATGCCATGGAGCTTTTTCCATTTCCAAAAATGAAACATACTTTGTAAAAATATAATAATAGACTAATGTGTTGGACACTGTGACTGTGGCCGGTGTGATTTTCCAGGGATCTAGGCACATTTTCTGGTTCAATTCTTGTACTCCACAATGACATAAAGCAAATGTGTAAATGGAAAAGAATTCACAAGTTTTCTTTTGCTGCAAGCCACCTATTAAATTATGACTCCAGTATTTACACATGCTCACATAATTGCAGATTAAAGTCATGAATATCATCTTTATCTCTGCATTTCTTTATAGTTATTATTGTTGCAATATGTCACATTTTATGATGTAAGTAGCATTAGCAGTGCATCCAAGCATCCAGAGTCCAGAGGAAGTTTTACGGTGAAATAAGACCCATATGCGTGGCCTCAAGTGGGAAGTCAGCCATATTCAGTATGGGCTACCGGGATGAAACAAGTGTCAAGATTGAGACAAAGAGATCATGCAAGATAAAGTAAGGCAGAAAACTACCATCAGGGAAATGACACCTGATTCATAAGATTCTCAAAGAAAGCATTGAGAATAGATAGTATCTGAACCATAATGGCAAATTTTCTCACTTGTTTTTAAAAAATTAAGGAATAGTTTGAGATTTAGGGAAATATGCATATTCAATCAATACCACTCTCATATCAGTTTGGTAAGTATGAAGCCAGCAGACGGTTAGCTCAACTTAGCATAAATATTCTAATCTAGTTTGTTAAAGCTGTACAAAAATTGTACCTGTGAAAACGTCCCTTTTTGCTTTTACAGGGATTATGTGCCAGACAATATCCTGGCCAGGCCTAAAGTCTTGTCGTCACTGTGAGGTCAGGCAACCAGGAAGTCACTGTAGCAAATCAAAACTAGTGTTACACAAACCCCATAGTTCGGTTAATGTAGCAAAATGCAGAGTAGGTAACAGACTAGTTGTAACATAGGTACAAATGGCAAATGTAGCAAAGTTAAAAGTAGATTGGTGGCCCAAAAAATACTTGAGTAAAAGTAAAAGAGTAAAAGTACAGTTTTTAAAAGGAATGTGAAAAATTACTTTTTCTTAATCTCTTCACTAACAAGATAACACACACTCCTGCTTGTCTTCCCTGTATCTTGTTGGTTTAAAATTCATAACTCACAAACTTACTGTATATTCATACATATCTTTACACTCTCCTTGTTCACAACTGCCCATGTTTCTCTCTGTTCAGATAAAGTGCCTCCTCACATTATGCCCACTGATCGCCAGAGACGAGGCCGCGAACACGAGAAGCATGGCTCTTTAGCTGGTTGAGCATGAAATCTAGTTAGCCTTAAAGAAAAAAAGCAAGTGAGAGTGGGAGAAATGGAGCAGAGGGTGACCATGAGAAACCGTGGAAAAAGAGAGGATGGAGACAAAATGTGTCTTTTTCTGTGACTAAGATGAAAAATACCAGAAAGAAACATATGATCAAGTCTTGGATTGGAGGGCTGAATTCAGCACAATGCGTTGGCACATGATTTGACGTTGGCACATGGTTTTTGGCTGCAAGGGTGGTAACAGTAAACAATACTACACATGCAGAATTCATGCAGCAAGATGTCCATATATAGGATGGACATATGGGATAAAGATGGCCAAGCAGTCTGGATGTACTTGTTTTCTATTTCTCCATCTCTATCTTTCCTTTTTATTTCCCCTGATCTCTCAATGTGCTAGCTGGCGCCAGGATCTCTGGGGCACAGTCTATGACATCAGGCTTTGCATTTCAGATTCGATGATGTTAATCATCTGCCTTCCGGCAACAAAGAAAAGAAGAGAGGAGAGTGAGTCAAAGAGATACATGGGGAGCCGGACGGAGAGAAGATGGACAGGGAATGAACAAGACGGAAAAGGGAGGGCTGAGAGAAAGAGAGGGGACATGAAGATCTGAAGCAGACCCATACTGGCATGTGAGGTTAGAGATGGAGATACAGTCACGCTTCAAGCCATAAGACAGGGGAGAAAGAAAGACAGAACACAGTAATGCCAGTGTACACATACTATATGTAAATGTCCACTTATAGTCACAAAACACTGAGTTACTTAAGGCCTTGCTTATCCACATTTCTGAATTTCCTGGAGGAAAACACACTGGGTCAGACTCTTTATCCCTGTCTTTGTAGTTTATCTGCTTCTCTCTATGGCTTTCACCTCGAGGAGTCAATGTGAAACTTGTCATTCAAAATCACCATCACCACAAGAGTACATCAAGAGTAGCTGTAGTTAGACACAGTGAGAATGAGACATTTTCTTGCCTGCTTTTGCAGAATTTCAGATACTTTTTGCGTTGAACCTTTCCTCCACAGTCATTATTAAAATACAGACTACATGAGTGTTTTCTAGTTTGATTCTGGTAGCGTCTTTTCTAATAAATGAAGTTTTCCTAATCTAAACAAAGAGCTCCTGCCAATCTTGTGAATTTTAATATAGTTTTTCCTGCCAAATTGCCATTTCTACTCAGTAAGTCAACTGTGTCAGTGAAAGTGGGTCTACAGCTCGCCAAGCCTGTGTGAATATCATGTACAAAACCCACAGATCAATCCACTTAGTGCCCATGAAATATAGGGAGTGGGCAGGCCACTCTGCTAGTCTGACATCATTGTACTCGGCCATTAGGCTGAGTGCCATCATGGCTCACCGCCTCTCTAGGGGACCGTACTTGGGCTACATTCAAAACCAAACACTGTAGTCCTACCTCCATTAGAACCATCTGGAATATCTTAAACCTGTTGATTAAGTGTGAGGTGCGGCATCACCCACCTACATGTTTGTTTAATTTAGGAACTGTATACCATGGATATTTCATCTGTTACATCTATTAATGTTGCACTACAAGTATAAAGATTGGGAGTCAAATTTAGACAGAGAGTGATACCTCTATTTTATCTCAAGTTCAAAACCCACCCTGCAGGGCAAGAAGAGAATTTCCAGCTCTGTAGCCTGGAGGGAAAAAATACTGGGACTTTGGCAATAAATAATAAAGCAAAGCTGAACTACAAGCTTGCATAATGGAAATTATTATACATCTATATAGAATTGGAATTATTTATGTCTATTATATACATCCTACAGTCTATTATTTACTGTATGTCTAAACAAATAAGTGAAATTCAGAGTGCACACAGATTACTGTGAACTGGCAGACAGTTGCACCTACGAAGGAACAAGTAGGTTAGGTCTAAAACACTTAGATTTCTCAAGAAGTCTGGGCACAAGACTTTCAAGTTGCCCACATGGTCTGCAAAACAACAATTGGTTGAGTCTACGACTGTTTCATTTTAGGGCAGCAACTAATGAATTCATTATCAATTATTATTTCAAATTGTTCTCTTGATTAATCAAACAATTAGTTTGGTCAACACAACTTCAGAAAATTGTGAAAAATGTCACAAGTTGCCAGAGCCCAAGGTGACCTCTTCACATTGCTTGTTCTTGTCTGACCAACAAAGAAGACAAAGAAAACCAGCAAATGTTCACATTTCAGAAGCTGGAAACGGTGAATGTTTGGCATTTTTGCTTGAAAGAAATGACTAACTGATTATCAAAACAGCTGCTGTTAATCGACTAATTGTTTCAGTTCTTTTTCATTTTGGCAAAACTGTTCTGATCAGAGGAGCATCTTTTCTAATAGTTCTCCTATAATCTTAGTATCAATATCAAATGCCTTGTATATGTATTGTCAAGTAAGTCCGATTTCTCAGACAAACTACAGACTGTCATATGAGATGCTACAGGAAAAGTTTGGGAACCCCCGAGCCACATTCAGACCTCAGTCTGCCTTCCTGGGACGATTCGACAGCAAGCCACATGTCACGCTACTGCAAGCGGGCAAGAAATGGACAGGAGCTTTAAATATCATGTTTCACATGGTAAAGTTGTGTCCAAAGTAACGCGCAGTCATCATCACTTGGCCAAAGGGAAGCAGTTTCTGCTTCTGCTTTGAAGCTTCAAGGATAATGTTCCACCAATTGCAATTCACAGAGTTTAAATTAAATGTAAACCTTGGGAGGGAATATTTAATGACATTTATATGTGAGGAATAGTAATAACAGGCTATATTTAAAAAAATCTTGACTGTAAGATAAAAAATAAAACTCTGAAAAAGGCCTGGCTGTTCTGCTACGACATATTATCCAAGACTTTGAGAAGCCAACAGGCTGGTTGAAGCTGTACTCACATCTGCGGTGTTGGGAATAGTCCGCGCGACACAGACGAAATGGTTGAAAGGAGTAAAAGTAGGCAGACTGAGTAATCCATAGCTTTATTTATTTCCCCTCAACCAGGATCCAGATTGGAAGAAGATGCACAAAAAAGGTTCACAAATCCACAGCGCCGTGCGTACTTCTCAGCCAAACGCCTCACACCGCCATCGGTGCGCGTTTGGAATCAAATCTCATTTCTATGCCCCCCTCCCCGCCACCCCTCACACCGGTGGAGTTTGGAGTGTGCTTTTTTTGGTTCAGACGTGCGCGCGCGTGAGTGTGTGATTGTTAAGAGAGTGTCTCAAACTGCGATAGGCTATTAGAGCATAACTACGGCGTGTGTCAAAAAATAAAAGGAGAAAAGGGGGAGGGCGCATTTAGATCTTAAGCTTGGCCGACAGAGCGGTGCCACTCCACACACTGCAAAAAAACTGATTAACCGTAATTTAGTAGTGAGGTTCTCACTGTCAAACACGTGGGAAAGTGTTAAAGTGGGTGCGATTTTCATCTTCAGTGCATTTCAGTTATCGTTTCGATGGTGTTTATTTGAATTTGAAAGTTTCCTTCTCTGGATGGCCTTGCGGAGACGTGTCATTCTGTATTGTGTTTTATTTCAGTGGAAATTTAGACAAACGTTTCTATGAAAATCCAATGAAAAAGTGGGAACTAAATCCACTGGTCGAGAAAAAAAAATCTGAATGACTCCAGATGACATAATATGGACACAAGTGTGGATTACCATTAATGACATTTTTTACAGTGTGTGATATTTTTTTTGCCTTTGTGTTCCTGACGCACAAATGGGTTACCGGGCGCCCTCTCTACCCACAATACGCTGCAGCAATTACGCATGGCTCTCTTGCAGTTGGAGTCGATCCTCGCCACAACACCATGCAGCCACCTTCCTGTCTCTGTCACGTTGCTTTAAGACCTCAAGCTGATGACCATCACAGGGCAAAAAACTGCTAACAATTTATGTTTTTTTCTTTAGAATACATTTTCTGTTTCTCTATAAACTCTGCAGCCTCTTATTATTTTGTATCATGAAGCACACAAGCCTAACATGAACTCCATTCTCCAAAGAATGAAGGGCTTTGTTCTCCCTCCTCTGCATCCTCCATAACATGGATACACCGCAAACCAGGTGGGATTTGAGTGCAGATAAGGACAACTTTGAAAGCGTTTTCAGGCCCTCAACCTGACTGCTGGCCATGTTAGATTCAGCACAACATCACAAGGGAAACTCACAATTTCCATCTATTAAGGGGTTCTCTGTTTTATTATGTATATCATTATAAGTCTTCATTTAATTTGCAACAGTGCAGAGCATCAGTGCAGAACTGTGATAATGAATTCTACTTGCTCCAAGGGCTCTGGCAAACTTAATATGAAGTGACATTTTCCTTTGCTGGGACAATCAGCAAGGTAAATAAGAGAAGAATATACAACTTTCTAATGAGATTTGCAAATCTGCAAATCCCTTTGTCAGATTCAGAAGTAATCCCTGACTAATTTCTTCAGAGCTCCTCACTTACTATGAAACACCAAAGTTATTATTCAACATAATGTTTGTCTACGGTTTGTGTGTAGCTGTGAATAAGGATGTGTTCACAAGTTCACTGTGTTTCCCATCCAGGGTAACAGCAGACAAACTAGGCTAAGTATTGTTCATCTGCTGTTATATTATAATCACACAAATAGTTTTACTGTGCAAATAGCTGTCCATGTCCCCCCACTCAGGTTTCACTATAACTCTTATAAAAGCTGATCCTCTGGGACCTCTTGCCAGGCAGGGCTCAGAGGTGGGGGAGAGGAGTATATTTACAGAGAAACAGTGAAGAGGCGGGGCAGGTTAGGAGAGAGTGTCTGCCAGACAGAAAGAGAGAAAAAAATGGTAAGTAAATGTATTATATATAGATAAACGGGAATAGATGAACATACTTTGGTGAGGAAGTTACCAGTTAATAAATAACGTGTTTTAAAAATTTATATTCTGAAGAGATTAATCTGGGGGGAAAAGGCAAAAGCCTTTTGTCCATGTTTTGCCATATACAGAAATCCAACACCAATCCCTCATGCTGCTTCTGTTTTTGAATTAGGCAAGCAAATGCAACACTCTCTTAAATAGGATTATATAGGATTTTCACAGGGATTAGTTTGTTTTACAAAAGCTTCTCAAAAGCAGAAAATTCAGTTTGACTAATACATTCCATTCCAATAAATTATCAGATTACTGACACCCAGAGTGGTTTTATGTAATGTTTGCCTTTAAAGCTGCTGTAATCAACATTTTTATGTCTATTTAAATGACTATGAGTAATGTTACTGGGGTCACTAGTGACAAACCCACAGAGATTTATCACCAAACTTTGCATTTCCCCTCAGTTCTACAGTGTCACAAGTCCTTTAGCTCATTGTTCTGGTTTCCTGCAACAATTTACCTCTCACAAGATTTCAGAGCGGGAATTGTCCTTCAGCGAGACTTCTGTTTCTGGTTAAAAACCAGAGGTGTTATCGCGTCTTACTTGTAGGGATCCTTTCCATGATGTTGTCAGACACCTGGCATAACAGCCTGAGCCTGTCGATAGCAAAAATAAGCGCTTTTTGTGGACGTAATTTTGACATCCGCAATTTCCCTGAAGGAGTATGTTGCACCCATAGCAGCCATCTACTGCAGAGATTCCAAAACTCTTTGTACCTACTAGTCATTTCGACACCACAATATGTGAAAATAGGTTTAAAAATTCCGAAATTACCCTTTAAAGGTTTGCAATGTAGGCTTTGATTCTGTTTCTAGGTTTGTTATAATGAACACCAATGACACCTTTGCCAGACACCATATTTAGCAACTCTGAAAAATTAATAACAAAACTAGTTAATGGGTTAAAAACAATGTTGCCTACAATTGGACACACCAAAAAAAAATGTTTTTTGGTGTGCATTTTAAATTCAACTTCTGGTTCTCAGTTACGCGGTTCACTGCTTTTTATTTGAACCTGTTGACCACTAAGGTACAGCTTGCTTCAGGTCATGTTTTCAGAAAAGAGCAACAAGAGGTAAAATCAAGAGTGCAAGTGTGTGCGTAATAGAGAGCGACAGGGGGGTTGATGTAAAGGTTGTGTTTCTGAGTGAATTAGGAATGTGTGTGTGCGGGTGCATGTGTGTTCATCTGTCTGGCAGGCAGCAGGTGTGGCCTCCTTTCACCAGCTCCCGACCCCACCCACCTGTCCAGGGAATTGCCCGGCTGCTGTCGCCTAGCAACCCTTTTGCTGTCTCCACACTGACTCCTCACTGACTCCTCACAACCGAGCCACAAGGCTGTTGTTTTCCTAACCAGTGAGTGCACATGTTACATGTGTGTATTCACAATGGGATTTGCACAGAGAGGGCAAAACAGGATAAATAAATTCTCAGTATAACAAGGAAGAAGAAAGTAAGCTATTTGCTCAGAAAGTTGCTGCAAAAGTAAAGAAGTTGGAATTTTTGATTTTAAACATACTTTATGACTTTTCATTTGCACCACATGGGAAAACCTTTAGTATTGGATGGCCCTTAATAAATTATAAAACCATCGTTTTTATTGTTAACCTCATCCATTAAGCTATTAATAATCAGTCTCAACCAGCTCAACTAAATTCAAATTTTGTAACACAAGAGCACAGATAACAAAGAAGTGCCTAATAATAAGGTTTAATTTTCTAAAAATGTAGCAGCTCATTAAAACACATTTGCGGGGCAAATGCCTTTTCATTTTATTCAAATGACATTTGAAATGCACCCATGGCCATTTTTCACATCAAATTACACTTTCAAGTCAAGTTAAGAAGAAGTCTTTTCTTCTTTTTGGCCAACTCCTACATTTCTGATTATCTTTGGTTTTTATGGTTAGTTATCCAAATGCTGACATCAGTGGAAAAACGCAGGTTGTAAGCATTGGGAGAGCAGCCGCCACATGATATGATACAATATGATCTGCAAGCATCTGTCAAATCTGGCTCCTGTCTGAAAAGTTAAAATGTCACTGTCAGATCTTCTCATATTTTTGAGTATCTTGCAAGACAAACAAATTGATGCATATACCGCTGAGCTTTCACTAAAAATTTAGGAAACTGCATTTATGCGAAAAGCTTGCATTATACTATATTTTGCCTTTTCCTCATCCCCCAGAGGCTGCCAACCACGATTCATTAAATAATTCTTCTGGGCAAGTGCGTTACCATGGCAACGAATTATTTCCAAGTTTAAAGTTTAATCGGCATCTCCCCTGCACAGTGTCTTCTTGGCAAAGACAATGGGACATGTGTTTTGTCTCCACATAAGCTGACACCAATGCATTCTTCATTGTGACATCCAACTGTTATGAGGAAAGGTAGAACATGATGGAAAATGGAAAATCCATACCTTCTTGAGATATTAGATGTGATTTAGGTGGATACAGTGTAGCTTGAGTTTAGTGTATTTTGAGGAAATTGTGTTTAGGTTTATTTTAAAAGGTGTGGTTTAATTTTGAGACATAAGCATATTCATTTTCTTGCCAAGATTTAGATGAGAAGATCAATTTCACTCTCATATTTCTCTGCTAAATATGAGGCTAGGCCTATAGCCAGCAGACAGCTACCTTAGATTAGCATAAAAAATGGCAACAGATATAATTAGTGCACTATAGAGGTGCAATAGGTGGATTTTATTTTTTACATTCAGTCAGAGCCAGACTTGCTCTTCCTTTTTTAATGCTACACTATGTAAACTGACCACTGGTTTTTGTTTGATATTTACGAGACATATGAGAAATACCAAACTGTTCTCTTTAAGTTATGTCGTTATTCATTAACTATTCATATTCGTAGGATGAATACCCTCAGCAGCTGATTAGCTTACAGTGACTAAAGGTATCTAAGACAAGTAACAATAAATTAACAAAATCCACTTACGTGTACCAGCACCTCTTAAGCACACAAATGAACACATTACAGTATATGTTAAATAGTCCCATAAAACCACTGTAAAAATATAACACACTGCTTTTATACAGATTTAGCAGGCTAGCTCTTTCCCCTTGTTTCCAGTCTTTGTGCTAAGCTAACCACCTGCTAGCGGTAGCGTTATATTTACCTACGGACATCAGAGAATTATCTAATTTTATAAGACTGAGTGAAGCTAGTATTTCTACTTCTAGTATTCTTCATGTCTGTGTCTGCAAATTCTTAGTCCCTGTTGGACATCTTTGTCTTTGACTGATCATTATCAGTAATGACACATAAAGCTTTTGTCACCACAAAAAAAGAATCTTGCACCACAGTCTCCTCCTTGC